CCAAACAAAGATGTATCTGGCCTTGATAATCCTGATTTTCAAAGTGATTCAAATCACATCATTTATTGGGGTAGGCTATGGTATGCACGCATGCGAATTAAGTAGAATTTTGATATTAGAGATAGATCTCTAATAAGAACTTTAGTCACACAAGGTTGCTTGAGTGATGAAGGGCTGATGGTGAATTTTCTCACAATGTAATGTGTAGGCCTCATGATGCAATCGAATTCCACTTAGACATGCTTTCAAAAGGCATTAACACCCTTGCTGATGATAATATTAATAATACTTTTGATAAATATATTTCTTTAAACGAAATTAATTTGCATCGAGAGGTATATTTATCACCTCACGATCAGTCCTTCTTCATCTTAAGAGATCTAGAATTACCAAAGCTCTTATTCAAGATCGCGTGCTTGTTAGTAAACGTAATTTACTACTTACTTTTAGCTTATAGGCAGGTTTAAGAGACAACCAGTATATTAAAAATATGAAGTGTGTTCACTTTTTTTCGTATATTGTGATGAGGGGCAGTAGTTGAATTATCTTACAATGATGAGTAGACCTTACATTTTCATTGAATTTCGCATAGACTTACTTCCCAAAAGGCATTCTCATCATGAATGAACCTCGCCTAGGTCTCATCAGCACCGGCGTAGTCAGTAGCGAGTCCAGATTACACGCTGCACTATCACGGTTCGAGTCCCACTAGAGGTGCTAATGAGACTCAGGCGAAGTATAAACTGCAGTTCAACCTAGATGAGAAAATCTTTTGGGAGGTGAGGCTATATAAATTAAATGGAAGGGAAAGTTGTATTCATATAATTGTAGGAAATCTCAATTATCAGTCCTTCATCACTATAAAAGAAGTTGTGTGAACGCATCTCATATGTCTGAGATACTACTGATTTTATTGTAAGGGCTTGAAAAAAAGATTGACCTTTTTTGGATAGACATCAAACTTAAGTACGATGCACAAATCAAATCCTGGGCAGTCGCTACCAGTCGGTTCAATACAAAAGCTACAATATAATATAGAATTAGGTAGAAGCAATAAAGATTAAAAGCGAGTAAACTCTCGAAAAGATTGCTAAATTGATATAGAGCATTCCTAGTTTTATATTCACAAGCTATAGTGACATGACTAAATAGTGTAATTTGATTGTGGAGATGGCCTTAACAGTATGCTGGAGGCGAGGAGGTTTTAAGGAAATAGGCCTTAATGATACTGGTAAGTTTGACGATCTTACCAAAATCATGTCTGGCCAGGGACCCCAATTGTAGCAGGGTCTGAAGCAAGTGGAAGTCGGCCGTCGATTTGCCCAGACCGCCTGAGAACGTAGACCTGCTGATCGCACGTTTGTTGATAGAGGTTGAGGCGATCTTGATGACTGCTTTTCCGGTGCCTTGTTTTGACTCTGCTGACTGCGCATCGTAGAACTGTGGCGAGATCTCGGCTTCTTTCGTCGGCCCTCCAAATCCCGTCAGCCAATCTGTTATGGTCCGCATCTCGGAAGTCAGCTCTCTGTCCTGGTATAGCCATTTGCCCGAGTTTGCCAGGCTACACTGATCGAAAAGACGTCCTAGTTTGCCCAGCCAACTCGGCGCAGACACAGGCCTGTCGGCCGCCGCCTCAAGACGACGTTCTATCAGGCTCCAGGCTGCTGACAACGCCTCGTCCACGGCTGATGCCAGGCCGCCTTGGCCCTGACGGATATCGAGAAAGGCGGTCAGATCAGCCAGTGAACAGACCCGTGTTGGAGCCAATTCCGTGGACTGGAGGCGCTCACTCAGCGCCAGTCCGGCACGCAAACAAACAAGACTGTTGCAGACGGAATCGCTGGGTCGTTCTAATGGTTTTAGTGACCTTTCAGCTACCAGATTGTAGGAGTGCTCTAAAGGTTCCAGTGCCTGAGTCCAATTTGTCAGGCTCAAGTAACGCCCCTCCTGATTCATCTGCCCGAAAGGCCGAGAACTGCCTCTGTTGGCGGTTGGGGGCCTGACCAATACGACGACCATCAAAACCACACCGATCAACAGCAGCAAGCCGAGAGTGAAGAAGAGGCAGGCCAGCCTCCGACGTCTTGGGGGCTGGCGTATGAAAAAGCGAGTCCATCGCGGTGTCTCATAGGCCAAGGGGTGTTTGTCGGGCACCAGACAGGCGGTGTGCTTTAACAAGAGGACCTGCAGTCTCAAGCCGAGGGGCCGATGCTTTTGACTAGCGTCTCCAGCCCGACCCTGGCAAGATCGGGGAGAGGTGATTTTCATCATCTCGCCCTCAGCCTCGTCGGTTTCCTGGTTCAGTTGACATAGCATGGCTGGCGCGTCGGAGACTGCAGTGTTGCCGATCCTAGGATCCCCGGCAGAGGAGGCGGCCGGGCCGGTCGCTAGTGCTGGAAACTTCGCCTCCAACAGGCCGTTCTGAATGTGCATGCTTGCCATATAGAGCGAGGGACCTGAGTAATCGGGTCGGGCGTCGTCAATCCTCGAGACGGCGGTGACGCGGTATGGTCGCCACAACGAGCACAAATCCATGCTCATGGCAGCAGTAGGTGAACTGGTACGGATCGATCTTCCGTAGGGGTGGGCGAGGCAGAAGGAAGTGTGAAAAGGAGATCTTGCAAAACGTGCTTCAACAGCCTGAGAGCGAATTACCCAGAGGGTGTTGCATGATGGTTGGGCTTGTATGATTTGTTTTTTTCCACTCATTATGCCTACATAGGCATAGGCCAAAACGTGAGAAGATATATGAGCCAATTGGAGGTCTCAAATTTCGGACAATAAGAAATGAGTACCAAATGAATGCAAAGGCTAGTACAGAGTCGACCAATCACAACCAGGGGGGAAATTGGGAGATGTATTTATGCACTAAGCGTTATCGCATGAGAAAAATCACCGGTTTAAGCACCTGCACAATCACTCAATAATCAGAATATTCAGCTTAGCTCATTAACGTTCTCTGAATTCTAACCCATAACAGTAGAATTTCTATTATCATCACTCAGCCAGAATTCATGTTCTTATGCAGCCTTTTGATATTACAATTAAGACCAGATTGGCGCAGTCTACAAAGAGTTTTCCCTCGGTAGTGAGCCAAAGATAAAAGCAATATTTACATTCACTCCATACACCCCCTAAACTCATCATCTCATCCAGACGTATGTTCCGGATTATATGATCATAAACATGACGTTATACACTTGTTTGATTACTCGGGTGGGGCACACAATCAAATACACAAACATGTGGAACGACATGAAAAGGAACTGAAGGAATTACCTTTTTTGGCACAATTATTTATGGCTTGTTTCGTTACTTTACGCTAGCGTGACATTCGCGTAAGAATTTGATCCACCTTTGACTATGCCTATCAAGTAAAATTACAAATTAAAGCCCAGCCCGATTTCACTAGAACCAAAGGAATATGTCATGTTAACCGTGCCAATCTGAAGTTCAAAGTACTCACTGACTGAAGAGCAATTGGCATCCGTCATGGTTTTCTGACGACGTTCGGGTCGACGCAGTAGATATAAAAACAAGATGGTTGCAGTCTCCTTTGGCTTCATAATGTTGTTGGTTCGACCTTGTTTCCGCAACTTTGTCGGAGCGTCAGGGAGACCTTGTAAAACGTGCCTAGTCCCGTGTCCTCTGCCATAATATTCGTGATTTTCAGCATTGAACCATTTGGTGGGTACATTCTCAAGCGTTTCGCCGGCTTCGTAGTCGGCATCGTCAGTGAGAGGCGCCATCGTAAGCACAGAATTACAACTTATCAAAGTGACAAATGAAGGCAATACTCTTGACCAATTTTCTGTTCAGCCGTTGTAGCATTACTCCTCGCTCCTATTTTTTGTTCTACCCTCTAGTGTCTCCCCACTTCATATGCCACATCCACATATTCACACAATTCTGTTCTCTCGTTTATTCCAATATCGCCTGAGAGGGGTGGCTACAAGTGGGTTTAGTGAAACGTAATCATCTTCCCCACTGGAACCAGATGCCGGTTTGCAGGGATCCTGGCTTACATTCTGCCCCCCTTTTTTCCAACCCGTTTGTCAATTGGCCGCTGCTAAACATCAAAAGCACTGTTTGGCTGTCTGAAAGCTGGCTGCCTAA